TCAGTGGAGGCCCATGCCAAGAAACACCCGGCGGTGCCCTGGGTTGATTGGGTTTCGAGGGTTTTGCGGTGGAAGGCGTGACGTTCCCACATCAGAAACCAAGGGACGTCCTGGGGTCTCAAGGTTGGGTTTCTTGTGGAAGGTTTCTTGAGATCGGGGCTCCACTGTGCTGTGTCGGCGCGCATGTCTCGCCGTCGCCGCGTTCGTCGGGCCTATGGTCGCCCGCCAGACGGCTAGATATGGTGCTGTCGCTCTCCCGCCCGCGCGCGGCTCTTGCGTTTTCCTTCCCCGCGCCAAGAGTCCTCGTTCGCGGGGCCGTGAGCGAGCGCTTCCGTTCGCGGGGTGGCAGCGCGCTCCAGTCCGAACATCACTTTGCGCCACCATTGATTCTTATGCGTCGTGGCGCCAGCATCGCAGAGCTGATTTCGTGCGGAAAACACTGGGATGGGCCCGGATAGTCCTGGAGAATTTCGCCCCAGATTTCGAAGTGAATTTCGCGCGGATTTTGTTTTGCCAGGAATGAAGACTACAAAACATCCACGTGAAATTTTCTTCGTTTTTCGCTCGCCGTTTCGGGGTTTTGCGTTGGCAGCAATCCAAGCAAAACTCCGCTGCAGCACGTCTGCAGGGTCGGTGCAGTGATGTGTGATGGGAGGGGTGGGTGGGATTGGGTGTGGCCCGCTGGCTCGTTCGACTTCGCCGGCTCGATATGACGCCTCGTCTTCGTCCTGCTCATGCTGTCCATATTTCTTGGGCCCGTGGCCGCGCTCTCATACTTCGACATGCGTTTCCACGTGCATTCCCACCCTCACACGCACATGCAAACACACACGCGCTCTCACACACACAGACTCACACGCGAACTGAACACCCACGCCAACACCCGTACCCATGCCCACCCTTTTTGTTCCCAAGGGAAGCGTGAGCATATGCGGCCCGCGCGCTGCAGTGCGTTCGCGCGCGATCCAAACTCAGGGCACGCAGAAACGACCAACAATCAACGATGGATCATTACTCTTTTTTGGTTCGCGGCTCCAAGGAGAAGCCCAGGGAGCGGGCACAACGTCCGGGGCGCGGTACGATGTAAATTGGCCGCAGTGGCGTATGCACATGCCAGGGACAAAATGCCCCTCATTGAGACGCAGACAGCGTCAGCGGGTGACCGGCACAGAGGCGCGGTAACCGGCGGTGGAACGGGAGGGAGAAGTCTTACTTGCACGATGGATCATTACTCCAAGCGTGCTGGAAGAGGAGAGGAGCGAGCAACGTTCAGAAAGCGGGCCTGCATCAAGCCAGATACATCTTCAATTGCGCAGTGCGGACACGGGGGTTGCCACGACAAGCGCGCAGCGAACCACAACACGAGAGCGTCCCATTCGTATCCAGCATCCCCATTCTCATCCGGATCCCCTTGCCCATCCCCACCCCCATTTCCAGACATCTACCCACACCTATTTTGATTAAGCCACATAACCAGATCTGGACCGACACCGGCACCGACATCCACACCCGCACACACATGCACACGCACACGCACACGCACACACACATCCAAGCCCACACCCCTACCCGTACCCACTCCGACACCCACACTCACACTCATCGCCACACCCTTACCCATGCCCATAGAGACATATCCATATCCATATCCATATTCACAGCCATACCCACACCTATATATTTTCATGCCCACAGCCATGCCCGTGCCAAGAGCGCTATCACACGTCGTCCGTAGCCATTTTGGCCCCAGGCTATCGTTGGCTCAGGCACTCTTGGCTTGTACATACTCCAAGAGACATCTTGCAACAGCCACAGCTCCTGGTCTCCGCGCGGCGCCATGTCCTTCCGCTACGGGGGACACGGCGGAGGCCTCGGTGGGGGCCTCGGCCGGGGCTACGGGGCGTACGGCGCCAGCGGGGCGTACGGCGCTGCTGGCCCTTACGGCGTCGGCGCCGGCGGCGCGTACGGCGCTGCCGGCCCTTACGGCGCCGGCGCCGGCGGCGCGTACGGTGCCAGCGGAGCGGACGGTGCGACCGCATGCTGCGCCAGCACCAGCGCCTGCATGGGCTGCGGCCCCGCCTGCGGCGTGGCCTGCGCCGAGGGTTCCGGCTGCGGCGCCGGCGGCAGCACGATTCTTAGCTACGTCGGCGCGGGGGGCGACTACGTCCAGGAGACCACCTACCGGTACGTGGGCATGGGCGCGGGCGAGTTCGGCGTGGTGCGCATCCCAGGGCGCGGCCCGAGCTGCTGCCTGCTCGTGATCCCCCTGGGGCTGTGTCTGCTTCTGCTGCCTCTCCTGCTGTTCGCGCTGGCGCCGGGCTCGACGACGACGACGACCACCACCACCACCACCACGCCGTTTATTCCGCCGAGCACGGCGCCGCCCGACACCACCACCACAACCAAGAAGACGACCACCAAGCCGCCGCCCCCGCCCCCGCCGCCCCCCCCGCCGCCCCCCCCGCCGCCCCCGCCGCCCCCGCCGCCTCCGCCCCCGCCGACCACTGAGAAGAAGATCAACTGCGGCGAGGGCGATGTCGTGTCCTGGGACGTGCCCAAGAAGGTCTACTGCTGCCTGCACGAGGGTAAGGGCTGCCCGACGACGCCGGCGGCGCCCAGCACCGTGCCGATGCCAGTGGTGACGACGGCGAGGAGCACCACATCTCCGTGCCCGATTGATTGCAACGCCGGCTACAACGACCTGGACCCGCTGCAGTGGGTCCGCGGCTGGTCCGGCGAGAAGAAGCTGTATTGCTGCAAGACGGCGAACAGGGGTTGCCCCTCGGAATTGCCCCCGCCCTCGGGCCTGCCGCCGTCCAACGCGCCCCCCGAGCCAGACAAGAGCGTCTACGACTGCGACGCGGGCTACCACCACTGCATGCACTGCCTGGTGCTGTCGTGGTCTCCGGCCAAGATCGATTACTGCTGCAAGACCCAGCACAAGGGTTGCAGGGGCGAGGAGCCAGAGTGAGGCGCCCTTTCTGCCCTCCTCCGCCCATGTTGGCACGGCGCGATCTGCTTGTCGCTGCGTTTTTTTCTGCCGCGTGCGGTCTCTCGCTCGCGCATTGTTGTCGCTCTGGAGGTCCCGGAGGCGCGGGTGGCTCCAGAGGAGGAGGAGGAGGAGGAGGAGGTGGTGGAGGAGGAGGAGGAGGAGGAGGAGGAGGAGGAACCCGGGAGGGCCAGAGCCTTCCATCCGACTCGTGGCCCGGCCCCGCCCCGTGGCCCGCCGCCGGCCTGGCGGGCGGCAAAGGTACGCCCGCCGCGGCCCCGGGGGCAGAGCGGTCGCTGCCCGGCCCGGTCCACGGTCAAGCCTGCCGGGCGGGTGGCACAGTCAGGGGCAACGATAGGGGGGGATGGGCATAGGAGGGGGGATGCATCGACCCCCAATCGCCCTCTGATCGCCGGCGGGGGGCCGAGAGCCCCAACCTGCCCAGGAAGGTGCGGATTTACCATCGTGGGCCTATCGTCGCTCTATCGGCGATGTATCGCCGATTCCAGGTCGATGCATATATCCCCCTATGCCAGTCACTCCCTACCGTTGCCCCTCATACATTCTGGAGGTAGAAGATCGACTAGACCTACGTACGAGCGACCTTTCGCCAGAGTGACCTCTTGGCGCGGGCCCAACGGGGTCCCCCGATCGCCGAGCGCGATGCGGCAGTGACCTGAGTTTCGGCACCTGGCGCCCCCTTCATCCGCGCACTCGAGGTCACTCTTGCCTAGGGTTGCTCTTGCGTGTAGCCGAGAACAAGGGCGTGGTGTGAAGTGGTGCGGTGCCACTGCTGAATCCAGCAGTGCTATCCGCCATCGATGGCACTGCCAGTTCCAGGATTGGCACCACACCTTTTTTGTGCCACACCCCTTCTCCGACCTCCAGACAGGCATGCTGTCAGAAGTCAGCTCTCAAGAGTCAGCTTTCAACAGTCCGCTCGCAAAAAATATATAGCGCTATCACACGTCGCGCACGAGCCCGAATGGTCGAACGAGCACGGCTACGGGTACGGGTGCCAGTAGAAGTGCGGGGGGCAGTGCGGGTACAGGTATGAGAGGGACGCAAGTCTGGTCAAAGGGGGCGCGCATGGTACAGGGATGGGTCTGGGCATGTAAATGGGAGCGAGTGCGGGTGCTGATATCCCTGTGGGTGTGCGTGTGTGTGTGTGTGTGTGTGTGTGTGTGTGTGTGTAGGTGTGTCTCGCGACTCACCTTTTGTCGAATGCGCATGGTCCAGGCCCGCCATCACACCCGCAGGCAGAGGGGGAAGGGGTATAGAGGATGTCAGGTGTGGCGCGACCCCCCTCCCCTCTCGCAGGTTAAGGCCACGGGAAATGCACAGACTGCCCCACCAGGAGGCCCCGGCTGCCCTCGGCAGGCCCCCCGAGCAGTCTGGGGCGGCCCCAGCACCCCAAGCCTGGGGCGCGGAGCGTCCCGGGGCAGCTGGAACTACGCGGGGGGGCCTGCTGAGGCCAGCCAGGTCTGCCTGGGGGGCTGCCTGTGCGCAGCCCGAAGCCTGACCAGGTTACCCGAAGCGACACCCTCGGAGCGCCCGCGACGGACACCCCCGGACACCCTCGGAGCGCCCGCGACGAGGCGGAGCTGATGAAAGGCACTCAGGGCCTGGAAAACTGTCGAAAACGTTTGAACATGTTGCCCCCTGAGCCAACTCCCCCCGAGCCTTGAGCATCCGAATTATCTGGGATAGACCTGGTCAGGAGAGGGAGCTGTTTGGTTTGGCGCTCCCAAATGCGAAATAGACAATGGATCCGCTTGATCCAAAACAACTCCCGTTTCGCGAGAGTACTGGACAATATCTACATGTATTTACAGCAATACCCACACCTGTATATTTTCATACCCGCAGCCATGCCCGTGCCAAGAGCGCTATCATACGTCGTCCATAGCCATTCTGGCTCCAGGCTATCGTTGGCTCAGGCACTCTTGGCTTGTACATACTCCAAGAGACATCTTGCAACAGCCGCAGCTCCTAGTCTCCGCGCGGCGCCATGTCCTTCCACTACGGGGGACACGGCGGAGGCCTCGGTGGGGGCCTCGGCCGGGGCTACGGGGCGTACGGCGCCAGCGGTGCGTACGGCGCTGCCGGCCCTTACGGCGCCGGCGCCGGCGGCGCGTACGGCGCTGCTGGCCCTTACGGCGCCGGCGCCGGCGGCGCGTACGGTGCCGGCGGCGCGGATTGTGCGACCGCATGCTGCGCCAGCACCAGCGCCTGCATGGGCTGCGGCCCCGCCTGCGGCGTGGCCTGCGCCGAGGGTTCCGGCTGCGGCGCCGGCGGCAGCACGATTCTTAGCTACGTCGGCGCGGGGGGCGACTACGTCCAGGAGACCACCTACCGGTACGTGGGCATGGGCGCGGGCGAGTTCGGCGTGGTGCGCATCCCAGGGCGCGGCCCGAGCTGCTGCCTGCTCGTGATCCCCCTGGGGCTGTGTCTGCTTCTGCTGCCTCTCCTGCTGTTCGCGCTGGCGCCGGGCTCGACGACGACGACGACGACCACCACCACCACCACCACGCCGTTTATTCCGCCGAGCACGGCGCCGCCCGACACCACCACCACAACCAAGAAGACGACCACCAAGCCGCCGCCCCCGCCCCCGCCGCCCCCCCCCCCCGCCGCCCCCGCCGCCCCCGCCGCCTCCGCCCCCGCCGACCACTGAGAAGAAGATCAACTGCGGCGAGGGCGATGTCGTGTCCTGGGACGTGCCCAAGAAGGTCTACTGCTGCCTGCACGAGGGTAAGGGCTGCCCGACGACGCCGGCGGCGCCCAGCACCATGCCGATGCCAGTGGTGACGACGGCGAGGAGCACCACATCTCCGTGCCCGATTGATTGTAACGCCGGCTACAACGACCTGGACCCGCTGCAGTGGGTCCGCGGCTGGTCCGGCGAGAAGAAGCTGTATTGCTGCAAGACGGCGAACAGGGGTTGCCCTTCGGAATTGCCCCCGCCCTCGGGCCTGCCGCCGTCCAACGCGCCCCCCGAGCCAGACAAGAGCGTCTACGACTGCGACGCGGGCTACCACCACTGCATGCACTGCCTGGTGCTGTCGTGGTCTCCGGCCAAGATCGATCACTGCTGCAAGACCCAGCACAAAGGTTGCAGGGGCGAGGAGCCAGAGTGAGGCGCCTTTTCCGCCCTCCTCCGCCCATGTTGGCACGGCGCGATCTGCTTGTCGTTGTGTTTTTTTCTGCCGCGAGCGGTCTCTCGCTCGCGCATTGTTGTCGCTCTGGAGGTCCCGGAGGCGCGGGTGGCTCCAGAGGAGGAGGAGGAGGAGGAGGAAGAGGAGGAGGAGGAGGAGGAGGAGGAGGAGGAGGAGGAGGAGGAGGATGGCTCCAGAGGAGGAGGAGGAGGAGGAGGAGGAGGAGGAGGAGGAGGAGGAGGAGGAGGAGGAGGAGGAGCGGAGGGCCAGAGCCCTCCATCCGACTCGTGGCCCGGCCCCGCCCCGTGGCCCGCCGCCGGCCTGGCGGGCGGCAAAGGTACGCCCGCCGCGGCCCCGGGGGCAGAGCAGTCGCTGCCTGGCCCGGTCCACGGTCAAGCCTGCCGGGCGGGTGGCACAGTCAGGGGCAACGATAGGAGGGAAAGAAACACACAGACACAATTAATAGGGGAATTGGGCGGGAAGACAACACCCAGAAAACATGGGAAAATACGGACAATATTTTTATTTGTGTGTATTTACTTGTGTGTCCCTGGGCCCCTTGAATAGGGGGGGGATGCATCGACCCCCAATCGCCCACTGATCGCCGGCAGGGGGCCGAGAGCCCCAACCTACCATCGTGGGCCTATCGTCGCTCTATCGGCGATGTATCGCCGATTCCAGGTCGATGCATATACTCCTATGCCAGTCCCTCCCTACCGTTGCCCCTCATACCTTCTGGAGGTAGAAGATCGACTAGACCTACGAGCGACCTTTCGCCGGAGTGACCTCTTGGCGCGGGCCCAACGGGGTCCCCCGATCGCCGAGCGCGATGCGGCAGTGGCCTGAGTTTCGGCACCTGGCGCCCCCTTCATCCGCGCACTCGAGGTCACTCTTGCCTAGGGTTGCTCTTGCGTGTAGCCGAGAACAAGGGTGTGGTGTGAAGTGGTGCGGTGTCACTGCTGAATCCAGCAGTGCTGTCCATCATCGATGGCATTGCCAGTTCCAGGATTGGCACCACACCTTTTTTTGTGCCACACCCCTTCTCCGACCTCCAGACAGGCATGCTCTCAGAAGTCAGCTCTCAAGAGTCAGCTTTCAACAGCCCACTCGCAAAAAATAGCGCTATCACACGTCGCGCACGAGCCCGAATAGTCGAACGAGCACGGCTACGGGTACGGGTGCTAGTAGAAGTGCGGGGGGCAGTGCGGGTACAGGTATGAGAGGGACGCAAGTCTGGTCAAAGGGGGCGCGTATGGTACAGGGATGAGTATCGGTCTGGGCATGTAAGTGGGAGCGAGTGCGGGTGCTGATATCCCTGTGGGTGTGCGTGTGTATGTGTGTAGGTGTGTCTCGCGACTCACCTTGTGTCCAATGCGCATGGTCCAGGCCCGCCATCACACCCGCAGGCAGAGGGGGAATGCACCAGCGCAGCTGGAAAGGATGGGCTGGAAAGGATGTGGCGCGACCCCCCTCCCCTCTCGCAGGTTAAGGCCACGGGGAATGCACAGAGTGCACCACCAGGAGGCCCCGGCTGGCCTCAGCAGGCCCCCCGAGCAGTCTGGGGCGGCCCCAGCACCCCAACCCTGGGGCGCGGAGCGTCCCGGGGCAGCTGGAACTACGCGGGGGGGCCTGCTGAGGCCAGGCAGGTCTGCCTGGGGGGCTGCCTGTGCGCAACCCGAAGCCTGACCAGGTTACCCGAAGCGACACCCCTGATCCTGTCACCTCCCGACCTTCCCTCTGATCCGAGCGGCTGTCGCGCCATAACTCGAACCCGCGGCGGACACCCTCGGAGCGCCCGCGACGAGGCGGAGCTGATGAAAGGCACTCAGGGCCTGGAAAACTGTCGAAAACGTTTGAACACGTTGCCCCCTGAGCCAATTCCCCCCGAGCCTTGAGCATCCGAATTATCCGGGATAGGCCTGGTCAGGAGAGGGAGCTGTTCGGTTTGGTGTTCCCAAATGCGATATAGACAATGGATCCGCTTGATCCGAAACAGCTCCTGTTTCGCGAGAGTACTGGACAACATCTACATGTGTTCACAGCAATACCCGCACCGGTATATTTTCATGCCCACAGCCATGCCCGTGCCAAGAGCGCTATCACACGTCGTCTGTAGCCATTCTGGCTCCAGGCTATCGTTGGCTCAGGCACTCTTGGCTTGTGCATACTCCAAGAGACGTCTCCGCGCGGCGCCATGTCCTTCCGCTACGGGGGACACGGCGGAGGCCTCGGTGGGGGCCTCGGCCGGGGCTACGGGGCGTACGGCGCCAGCGGTGCGTACGGCGCTGCTGGCCCTTACGGCGCCGGCGCCAGCGGTGCGTACGGCGCTGCTGGCCCTTACGGCGCCGGCGCCGGCGGCGCGTACGGTGCCGGCGGCGCGGACTGTGCGACCGCATGCTGCGCCAGCACCAGCGCCTGCATGGGCTGCGGCCCCGCCTGCGGCGTGGCCTGCGCCGAGGGTTCGGGCTGCGGCGCCGGCGGCAGCACGATTCTTAGCTACGTCGGCGCGGGGGGCGACTACGTCCAGGAGACCACCTACCGGTACGTGGGCATGGGCGCGGGCGAGTTCGGCGTGGTGCGCATCCCAGAGCGCGGCCCGAGCTGCTGCCTGCTCTTGATCCCCCTGGGGCTGTGTCTGCTTCTGCTGCCTCTCCTGCTGTTCGCGCTGGCGCCGGGCTCGACGACGACGACGACGACCACCACCACCACCACCACCACCACCACGCCGTTTATTCCGCCGAGCACGGCGCCGCCCGACACCACCACCACAACCAAGAAGACGACCACCAAGCCGCCGCCCCCGCCCCCGCCGCCCCCCCCGCCGCCCCCCCCGCCGCCCCCGCCGCCCCCGCCGCCTCCGCCCCCGCCGACCACTGAGAAGGCGCGGGGAACCCGGCGCCCTTGGCGGAAGAGCCGGCGGAACGTCACTGCGTTGGGGGTTCTCCGGGTTCTTACTTTGAACGTGACCCTTCTCACGAGAGATCGCCTCCGGGCGTCGCTTCACGTGGCTGCCAGCCACGGGTGTCATGTGATCCTTCTCCAGGAGACCCGGCACCCGCACGGTGGCCACGGGTGGGCGCCTGAGGTGCTCATGGCCGCAGGCTGGTGCGCTCAATGGTCCTCGTCGCCCCCCCCGCAGGTGAGCCGGGCCCGCCGGGCGGCTGCGGCGGCCGACCCTGCCCCGCGGCAGGGGGGCACGATGCTCTGCTGGCGTTCCTCCTTGGGCCGCGGGCGCCCCGTCCAAGCTGAGGGCGATTGGCGTCGATGTGGCCGGCAGTGGGGAGCCCCCAATCCTTTCCGTGTGTTGTCGGTTTATGGGCCTGCGGCGTCTCGCCCCGATTTTGATTGGTTTTGTGAGTCGCTCGTCTTGGGGGAGCCTGAGGGGGCCCAGTGCCCTTCCGTCGTTTTAGGGGACTTCAATTGGAAAGAAGCTTACTCCGCCGCCCTTCCCGCCCCCTGGGTCCTGGCCCCCGGGGTGCCCACTGCTACCAGTGGCCCTGCGATGCCCACCCGGTGCTTGACCCTGGGGTGCACGGCTTGCCCGATCGCCGCGATTCCTATGAAGGAGGTCCCACACCACCTGGCGGTGGTGTACGACATCGACGTCCAGACCCCCGAGACTCCCCAGAGGGTGCGGCCCACCCGCACGGCGTCGTATGCCTGGCTCCGTCACCCCACCGTCGCCGAAGACCAGCTCCTCCGCGCTGCTGCGGCGGAGGCGCCGTTTCACGATGACGATCGTCGGGCCGAGGCTTTCGGTGATGAACCTCGGCCCGACGATCGGCCTCCTGACGCGGCGGCCCTCGACAAGTGGCATGCCCAGGCCGAGGCAGTCATGAGCTGCGCTGCTGCTCTCGGCCTGGCTGAGGTGACTAGACGGCCTGAAAGGGCGAAAGGCTCCCATCCCGATTTGCGGCCGGTCGCGGATACCTCCGTGGACCGCGAACCCCAATCGATTCGGCTCCGTCGCCTTCGCCGGTTGGAGCGCTGCCTTTTGAGAGCCTGGGGGGACGTTCGTGGCCCCTGCCCTGCCCTCGCCACTCCCCCCGCCTCCCTCCTCCGGAGGTGGGGCGGGGCGGTCACCGACGGCCTCCTCCCTTCGGCCCCCGCCACCTTGGGAGATGCCGCGGAGCAGCTTCGGGGGGCCTGCGGGCTCGAGCTTGAGTCCTGCAAGAAAGATTCCCTGCGGGAGTGGCGTCAGGCGCTGCGGACGTGGGGGCCCGAAGCGGCCCGGGTGGCTGCGAGGACGATGCGGGCCCCGCAGGCACCGCTCTCCTTCGACGCCCACGACACGCGGGCTGACTGGGAGACGTGGTGGCGCCCGGCGCCCGGCAGCGACGGTCGCCCGGGCCGTCCTTCCCACAGGGAGGCCTGGGAGGAGCTGGCCACAGAGGCTGGCCTGACCCGCCGCCCCGTGCAGCCCTGGGCGCCTCCTTCTTTGGATGTGTTTTTGAATGCCTGCTCCGAGGCGCACGGGGCCTCCGGCCTGGACGGGTGGACGGCGACGGAGCTGAAGGGCATGGCCGAGCACGCGCCCTGGCTTCTGAGTGACCTCCTGGGGGTCCTCGTCGCGGCCCTTGAGGGGCCGCCCACCTCTTCGGATGTTTCTGTTGGGCCCCCCCTGGCCTTCCGATCCCCGGTTTTTTTAGTTGATCTACTATTTTTTAGGAAATCGGCCCTAACTACTATTTTAAAAAACAAGTTTTGCAAAATAGTGGATCCACTATTTTGATGCATACATACGTGCACGTATAATTATATGTATATATGTATGAAGAAAGTGTTGGTTTCACAGAGGCTAGATCAGATACTTAAACACATCAAATAAAAAAACAACTATTTTAAGTTGCATGAGGTCTGGTCGGTGAGCTCGGTTAGATGCCACGCACCTTGTGCCCCCAAGATGGGTGGGCGGCTATTTGCATGGGGGCCACGCACCTTGTGCCCCCAAGATGGGGGGGGCGGCTATTTGCGTGGGGGCCACGCACCTTGTGCCCCCATGGGGTGGGCGGCTATTTGCATGGGGGCCACGCACCTTGTGCCCCCAAGATGGGGTGGGCGGCTATTTGCATGCATGGGGGCCACGCACCTTGTGCCCCCAAGATGGGGTGGGCGGCTATTTGCATGGGGCATAATCATCTGATAAGCTGGTGGCGAGACATCGTGCTATAATATGTCGTGCTATGATATGTCGTGCTATGATGTGTCGTGCTATGATATGTCGTCGTTATCCTCACCCCCCTCCTCCTCTTTCTCCTGGCTCCGTGGCCTTTCTCGCTCATCTCATGGGGTGGCCCCCCACCTCGCCCCTTCCATCCTCCAACATGTGTGCAATTGCCCTCAAAACGTAACGGTAAACACATACAAACAAAACAAACGACACATGAACAAAACCAGGGGTCGATGCGGAAATGCTCTGACACTTCCACAGCAATTTTGGTTCTGGCCAAGGGTTTTCCTTGGCGCGGGCCGCATGTCCAGCCCCGAGATTTGTTGTCTGTGCAGCGACACCGTCAACGGACCACACTCCGATGAAGTTGGATGGGCGTGCGGCCACAAAGTGCACATGAACTGTTTCGGATCTTGGGTGCATTCAACATGGCCAGACTTACTTCGGCCACCTTTACCATGTCCTGGATTACCATGCGCCCTTTGCAGAGAACCTTGGCGTGACGACGTGGCTCTAGATGCTAAGTTGAGGATCGCAGGGAAAACGTTTCAATATTTCGTGGACCACGTGGCTGATCAAGAAATGGTACCTCCTCCGCCGCCGCCTGCATCTCCTGCTGAATGGATTGTGCCGCTGTGTTGCCCTAGGTTGCTTGCCACAGGCGACGGCGTCGAAGAACCCACCTTCATGGAGATAGAATACGACCGACGCATGGCATGGATGGGAGGAGTGGACTACGAGTGCTTGCGATGTGGTTCGAAGGTGTCAAACAGCATGCCTGAGTTCAACTACTTGCGGGTATTACCTTCCCAAGTCATGGCGGCGAGTATGAGTGCGTGCATGATTCATGGCCGTCGCTCAATGATTTTAGACATGCAAACTAAGCTCCGATGGTGGACGTGCATAGAAAGTTACCCTGATTATGACGTACCGATGCCTCTTTACCACGGCTGCATGCCCATGGGCCCGTACCCATGGATGGATGGAGACTACGTCGCCTCAGACTCGGATGAGGAGTCGGACTCGGTGATCGAAGTCGACGCGATCAACGAGCTGCCCAGGCCCGCAGACGGCATGGAGATTGAGCCTCAGCCCGAGCTTGCAGATCTCGAGGATGAGCCTCGGCCCCAGCCTGCTGAGAGTGAGCCTCGGCCCCAGCCCGCTGAGCAGCCGATTGACGATACCAGCAGGCAAGCGTTGCTTCACATAATTTGCTCTGATGAACTTGATGCGCTCAGCAGGCTGGCCAGGGACGACTAGCATTGCTAACAAAAACAAGCACCCCAAACAGCACTAACAATCAAACCAGTGAGGGCCAGTGAGGACCAGTGAGGACGTCTCGAGCGACGTGCGTAGGTGTGGGTGGTCGACCAGTGAGGACGTCTCGAGCGACGTGCGACACAGCCTGGAATAGATCACTGCAGTGAGGACGTCTCGAGCGACGTGCGACAACAGCCCAGACTAGATCGACCAGTGAGGACGTCTCGAGCGACGTGCGACACAGCCTGGAATAGATCACTGCAGTGAGGACGTCTCGAGCGACGGGCGACAACAGCCCAGACTAGATCGACCAGTGAGGACGTCTCGAGCGACGTGCGTAGTGTGGGTGGTATTAAGCTACGCTCCCATTCACATCCAAGTGAAACGCACTTCAAATGTTATATGAGGGGGCCGCTAAAAACACAACGAAATCCACCGACGGGACCTAGCTACAGCAAGCGATAAACTGAAAAACGAATACCAAGAAATTCGCCATGCTCCCACCCACCTCCTCCTTAGCCATTTGGGCTCAATTCGCAACTTCAGGCAAGGAGCTCGCGCTGCTTCAGGCTCGCACTGCTTCAGGAGGAGAAGCTTCAGCTCGCGCGGCTCGGCGATGGCGGAGGAGCTCGCGCTGCTTCAGGCTCAGCCGCGCAGAAAGACCAGAAGCTGGAGATCATCGGACCCGTCCAACCCTGAGCTCTACGAGGCCCTGGTGGCCGACTTCGACACGTATTTGTTCACGCTGAACGGCTGGAACTACGAGTCCAAGGACACGAAGACGGGAGTGGATACAGACGCCTTGAAAGGTTTTGCTCCGATCTTGTCGAAGCTCATGACGCTGGACCCTAGAGGAGGATACTTCCGCCAGAGGGACATGAGAGGGGCTCTCGCTAAGTGCGCCATGCGAGACAGTTGCAGGCAGGCATTCGCTGCGTACTGTGTCTCGCAAGGGTATGCCAGTATCGAACAAGGGCTCGTTCACTTGAGTTTGATGTTCCGTGTGGCGTGCGCCCACACCAGAGACAAGCAGCAGCAGTACAAGAAGCTCACCGACATCGACTCGCCTGCTGCTGTTCGTGCACACCCTGAAGAACTGCGAAAGGTGTACGAGCTCATCACGCAGAGCCCAGGCCCAGTCGTCGGCCATAGGCTCCACCCATTCCCAGCTTTTCGAGGAGGCGAATCAGATCTGAGCTCGGACGACGGAGCCTACATCGTCAGCAAGAGCCTGGACGTCTCGGAGTTCAAGGCCGTCATATCGATGAGCTCAGGCCTAGAGGTCTACGCGGATAGGTACCGTCGTGGAGACAATGGGCTAGCAGTTGCGGTCTGGGATGCCTACAATGAGGAGTGGGAGATGGAAGTGTCTGCGAATCTGATCACCGACGATGGGGCACATTTGCGGAGGCCCACGCCAATAGTTCAGCCCAAGCCCAAGAAGCCGAATACCATGAAGAAGCCAGCGGCGGCCAAACGGCCTGCGGCTGCCATGCCGCTGGCAGATGATGATGAGGCGCTTGCCGAGACCCCGAAGAAAGTCAAGAGAGAGGACGATGCGCCTAGTGATGATGCGGGCGAGGGCCGTGCTGTCGAGGATCCCAAGCACAGCAAGGCCGTCCTCGACATCTTGCAGCGCCTCCCTGAGAACGCCAAGCCTACAGGTGGCCTCGAGGTAGGCCGTAAGTCGTACACGATCCAGGGCAGCCGTATCAGCGTGCTTCTCACAGGCAAGGGCTCATTCTACATCAAGGGCGTGGCGGAGGACAACCTGAAGATCGCGAAGACAATGGACGCCTTCAGTGCCATAGTGGACGGCAAAGGTCTCAACAAGAAAGGCGACCTGCAGCTCGCGATCGGCGAGGACGTCCAGCGGTCCTTCGACCTCGCGACATTCTTGGCCTGCCATCAGAAGTGAGGCTCGGAGCTCGGGGAACTCAGAACCTGCGGAGCATTGCGACGGCAATGCATGCTTGGCTCTCGAGAGATAGGGAAACAACTTTCCACCAGGGTGTCCAGGCTGATCCTCCTACTTTTTCTAATCATCCAGCCTGTCAAGTCTCAGACCTAATCTACATCCTCCTTCGGCCCAGGCCCGACGCCTGTGAGGACATCTCGAGCGAAACGCCGACGGAGAAACCTAAGTGCGAGCGCAAACGAATGGGAACCAATACTGACACGATGCGCGAGGATATCTCGAGCGAAACGCCTACTGCGTGCACAACCCTGGGCCCCCATGGGCCCCATGGAGCCCATCGAGACCACGGGGGGCTCCCCCAGGCCCCAGCATATCTAACAGCCCCCCCCTGCCGGATATGCTGCCAGATATAGATCCTCGAAACATTCGTCAATTTCTATATCTAACAGGGGTCTGACAGATATGCTGACAGATATGGAGACGCCCTGTGTGCGCTGATCGGAGCGCCCTGGGACCCTGGAGCGATCCCTTACCCTCCTCCTCAGACCTCCTCCCATAGCTGTTTCGGCTACTGTTGGAGCTCGGGCGAGGTCGAGCCACCGACCGCTCGCGCTCGCCATGCCGCCCAAGCGCAAAGCGAACGCTTTGCCCAAGGCGTGCGCTGAGATGAAGGCAGCCATTGGTGAAGCAGGGGTGACTGCTCAGTCGATCGCTAATGTTGATCACTCCGTCCGCGTCAGGGCTTTCTCGGCTCTCAACACCACGCTCAAGAACCATCATCCATCCAAGGTGGTCGAGTACAAGGCGCTCACGGACGACGATCAGCGCCGTGAGTGGCTTGCAGCCTTCATTCTTGACCCAGAAAGCGGCGGGTGCTGCGCCAGCAACGCGACTGAGCGTTCAAGCGAGACCGCCGACAAAGCTGTCCAGATTTGGGTCACGGTCGATGAGTATGGAGGCCCACGGTTCCTCAACAACATGGAGCACGCGAAGATCGCTGTCACTGTATTGCAAGATCGGCCTCACGAAAACGCTGCGTTGGCAGCGGCAGGAGTCAAGGAGTACGACGTCACGAAGGTTTGGAGGGAATACTGCAACAGCAAGAAGGAGACTGCCGCTGTGACCGTCGATGCGAAGATCACCCCCTCAGAGTACCAAGAGGTGGCCACCGCCATGGCAACGGATGGAGATCAACCGAAAAAGAAAGGTCGCACCCAGGGGAACCCGAGTTCTCGGAGGAGCACCCCGCCGAACCCACCAACAGAGCTGAGTGCCGAGCAGCTGGTGACCAAGCAGCTCAAGGACAGCATGGACAAGACTTCCAAGGAGGCGAAGAGCTTGATCGACAAGATGGGCAGGGAGCTTACAGAGGTGGAGCTCGTCGAGAACAGGCTCAAAACCAAATCCTGGTCACCTTCAGCCGTTTCCTATCTGCAGGAGGAGACCGCGAAGCAGGTGGCCTTCAAGGAGTCGCTCCACAAGCTGTGGACCGAGACGAAGGGGACGAAGTTCAACAGCAATGAGGATATAGAGGCGGCCACGGCGAGCCTCAAGACACTCAAGGAGAACTGCGAGAAGGAGTACAAGAAGTACAAGTCCGATGTCCTTGGCCCGTTCGCCAACATCAAGTGATAGACGTGCGCCTCGACCTTGGGGTGACTGGGGCATCATGCAATGAGCTAGTTGGGGTTGCAACATTGCGTTGGTCGGCATGCATCGCGTATTTCCAATCGGGACGGCTCTGGACATGATAAATGCACCTGCAGGGGCCCGATCGCCTCACAGTTGTTCGAATGAGCGGCACGCCTCAAGATTATCCCAATCCTCCTCCTCCTCCTCGTCCTCAAACTATGTTGGCCCTGGGGACCGAAACGCCTCAATAGTGTTCGGGGGGCGACACGCGAATCGAGAGAGCTCAACAGAGGAAACGACTGCGAGGATGTATCGAGCGATTGCCCCAGCCAAACAAATGTGAGGATATCTCGAGCGAAACGCCTACTGCGTGCACAACCCTGAGCCCCCATGGGCCCCCGTGGGCCCCATGGCCAATTAGGGCTCAAGCTTGTTTCAGGCTATGCCAGGGCACTTGCAGAAACTTGCAGAGTGGAGCAGGCCACTCGGCCTCGGCCTTCACCACTTGGTCGAATGGGATGGCAGGCCGAGGGATGCGGCAGACTACGTGAGACAGAACTTCAGCAGAGCACGGACTTCGGGTACCGAAGTCCAGAGGGTGTTGCGCGGCAATTCGGCGGCTTCCAGCAGTAGGAACTGCCATCGCGACGTGATGAGGCACATGAAGGCAGCGCCTGGGAAGCCAGAGCCCTACGCTGCCAGCATTCAGTTTTGGGACCCAGTGAAACAGGAGCCTTATCAAGATGACGTGTATTTCTTGCTTCCCCATGGGTACGTCGAGGCTACGATTGATGACGGTGTGTTCACCAAAGATCAGTGGGTTGATTTATCATCGCAGCCGATCCTTGCAGCGAAGAGGGAGGAGTGGTGCAGCAGAATGGGTATAGCTAACACTGACGTGGTCGCCTTCGGCCTCTGGGGCGACTTCGCACCGTACTTGACGCGGGACAGCATCCTGGCCTTGCTGTTCACGTCTCTCGGCGAGTTGCGATTCGAGCGCTTCTGGTTTGTGGCACTGGGTAAAAGGACAGCTTGTCAGTGTGGATGCAAGGGGTGGCATACTTTCGAGGGGATTTGGAAAGTACTAGTGTGGTCCTTTCGTGTTCACATGGGGGGACAGTGGCCGAGCATCAGGCACGACAACCAGCCCTTTAGCGCCAGCACGAGAATCGGTGACAAAAAACGCAATGCCAAATTTGGTCCACTGAAGACAAGATCCTGCATGCTCCGAATGACTGGGGACTGGCAGTGGCTGAAGCAAGGCCTTGGCTTGCAAGGGTGGGGCGACGATGCTAGTTTGCGAGTTTGCTGGAAGTGCGATGCCACGACTGATGACCTTGCCAATGCTGGTTTGGACGCTCACTGGAGGTCGCTCTCTGTGACTACAGCGTCGTTCCTCGAGCGCAAGCTCGCAGCTGGAGTGATCATCTCTGGCGTCTTCAATCTACCAGGTTTCTTACTGGAATATTGCCTGGCCGATTGGATGCACACGGTGGACCTGGGCATCGCCCAGATTGTGACAGCTTGCATACTTTGGGAGTTATTCAAAATGATGGGTGGCACCAGGGAGGACGACGAGCCCTTGCAAAACCTGTGTGTAATGTTGCGCCAAATGTCAAAACAATTGAACATAGATCCGCCGTTCTGGAGATGTACGCTTAACATGGTGAGGGTAGTCGGTAAATCCCCTAGGATGAAGCTCAAGGCCGCTGAGACAAGGAGGTTGGTTCCGTGCTTGGTCAGACTGTTGGAACTGATTTTCCCTCCGCAAAATGCTAAGGAAATCGCTCGTTTGGAGTGTTTGCGTTTTTTGGACCTGTGCTACAAAGAAGCAGAGTCGTGGGGCGAGGGCAGCCCCTTTCGTCTGGCAAGATATGGGAGGTGTCACGTCGCACTGTACAGGGACCTCTGGTCCGCTGCGCACGGCTGGGTGTTGTGCCGTTTTTACCCCAAACACCACCTGTTCATTCACATTTGTGAGCGAGGCACAAATCCAAGGGACGAGTGGTGCTACAGAGACGAGTCAACTATCGCCGACGTTGTCCAGGTAGCAGAGCATCAAAATACACAGTGCCTGCACAGAACTATAATTCAAAAACACAGGCTTCATGCTTTCAAGGAGCGATGAAAAAAAGAAAACAAACAAACAACAAACAACAAACAACAAACAACAAACAGCAAACAGCAAACAACAACAACAACAACACCAACAACAACAACAACAATACCAACAACAACAACAGCAGCAACAACAACACCAACAACAACAACACCAACACCAAAACCAACAACAACAACACTTACAACAACAACAACAACAACAACAACCCTCGGCACTCAGAACAGACATACCACAAACTGGGCATCATCACCGCATCGCCGTACACAGAAAGCCAATATGTGTATACACACACGTATGTCAAATACAAACAACAACATGTATTCCGAAGGCTCCGCCGCAGCCGCCAACCTGTTTCGTATCTTGGAGGCTTTCGCCCAACCCGACAACCCCGATGGCTTGGTGTGGTGAGGTGGTGGTCGCGCTGGTGGTGGTGGTGGTGTTGGTGGTGGCATGTGGTGACGGTCGTCGTTTCGTGTTTGGCCGCGGCGCACGCACGCGAACCACGCCACCACCATCAAAACCATTTGAACAAACCATAACAGATCACCGCGCAAAGTTGCGACCAATCGTTATAGTTACCAACGCAATGAGTGATGAAGTATAAGACATGGATTGACAATGGCGGTTGAATGTAAAAACGATGTGGTGTCAAAATAGGGGCTGTCCCGATTTTTCAACGATGTGAAAAGATGACAATAAAAAATCGGCCCTACCTCCGGTTTTGTTTCAAAATCGGGGACACACGAAAAAAAAGGGAGATCGGACGACCGGGGCCATGGCCGTTTTTCGGGCCCGTCCGACGCTTTCCGGGACCGATTTTACGCCTTCCGGGTTGCGGGAATTCCCAAAAGAGGGAGCCAGGACTCCCGGCCGATCTGCGTGGCGAGCGTGCTTTTGCGTGCCTGGCACAAAGCCTTGACCACCTCTCTCCCCGCCCCCCCCCCGCAGCAGTGGGGGGAGGTTGGGGTGGTCCCTGCCACTGCCCAGTGGGCTGCCCCCGCGCCTCCCGCGGAAGCCTCGGCCGGGGGCGAGTACGACCTCACTAAAGCTTTCGACACGATCCGACATGACGTTGCTGAGGGGTGTCTTGAGTTCCTCGGCACCCCGGCTCCCATCATCTCCTCGTTGCGCGCGAGCTGGAGTTCGCCTCGTTTTTGCACGGTTGGCGGGGGGATGGCCCCTGCCATTTGGCCCTCCGTGGGAGTGCCTGCTGGAGACCCCCCTTCCTGCCGTGTCTTGAGTCTGGTGCTTTCCCCCTGGCACCCCCTCGTTGAGAGAACCACCGACGGCGCGACCCGATTGCGGTCGTCGGCTTACGTTGATGACCGCTCCTTGCGGGCGGACGGCCCCTCGGTCGAGGCTGCCGCCGCTGCGGTCGAGGCTGCGTTGGCGGCCACCCAGCGTTTTGATGACGCCCTGGGGCTCTCCGAAAACAGGGGAAAGCGCCAGCGATGGCAAGGTGAGGGGGGGTGTGAGCACCTTGGCATCGTGGCCGCTCCGGCGTCGCCGGACCCCGAGCTCCCTATTCCGAGGGACGGGTGGGGCAAAATCCTGTTTTCTGCCAAGCGCCTCAGGGTCCTCCCGGCGGATGCTCGTTTCCACGCGGCCCCTTGGATTCTCAGCAAATGGATTTGGGCCGCCCCCTTCGTCGCCCCCCCCCCTCACGAGGTGGTGGATGCCCTTACCAAGGCTCGGACTTCTTGGTGGTGTGTGCGGCGCTTTTGGGCGGACCACGTGACCCTCCATCCCAGGTTTGCCACTGCCTTCCAGTCCCTCAAGGCCGCCAACGGGCTTCCTGATTCCCCCCTTCTGCGCAAGGCGATCCAGGTCCACGCGGCCCTGCTCGGATTTATCCCTGCCGGGCCTGGTCGGCCTGGGCGCCCCAGGGGCGTCCCTGACCCTGCCGTGGGGGTCCAGGCGGACCCCGGCCCCCTTCTGCCTTCCCCGCCGCACCCTGCCCCCGTTTGTTTGGAGGGGGTGTGGCTGCTGGCCGGCCCCAGTTTGGATCCCCGGGCCCAGACCGGAACTGCTGCCATGGAGCCCGCTTGGCGGCGGGGTTGTTTCGACGCGTCCACCGAGTGGGGACAGCACGTCCTCCGGGCTGCGGCCCGGGCCTCCCTCCTCAGCCACAGGGCTCGTCGCCGCGCTTCTGAGCCCCGTAATGATGAGGAAGGCTTGGACGACGTGGACATCGAAGCGTCGTCACACCCCGTCTGGAGGGACTGGAAGGCTGGCCTTTCTCCCCTCCGCAGATTTCTGCTGCGGGTCTGGAGAGCCGGAGCGGCCTGGACGCCGACGCGGCGCTTCCGGTCGCGGGAGCTGCAGCGCTGCCCACACTGCGCTTCGCCTCGCGCTTCGGTCCGCCACTGGTGGGCGGAGTGCCCGCGTTTCGACGCTGACCGGGCCAGGCTTTCCAGCGCCATGCCGCCTGGCACTGCTGAGTGGTGGCTGACGCAGCCCCGCTGCACGGCCAAGACGGGGTGGGTCACCCGTTCGGCACACGCGGACCCGGTGGCCCGCGCTCGCCTCCAGGTTGCGGCCTGCGAGCTCGGGATCCTCATCCTGGAGACCCCGATTGACTATGCCTCCGCCCCCGGCGGTGTGGTGATTCCTCGGAGGTTCCCCGGTTGACGTTGGTGCCCCCCCCCCGGTCCGTCCCCTCCCTCCCTGGTGGTGGTGGTGGCATCGGCGGTTGTGGTGCGTGGCGGCATTGGCGGCCCTCCCTCCTCCCTCCGGCGGCGGCCTCAAGGCCAGGCGAACGCCCGGTCTGGTGTTTCACATGCACGTTGTTTCTTTGCTTCATTTAGTCTAATTGCCTCTTGCTCTTATGTGTCTTCGCTTCTTCATTTGTTTTCCTTTTGTTGTGGCTGTCCGTGACAGCCCCATTGCTGAGGAGAAAGGATCCGAACTCCTACTCCTCTCACCCCAGCAGCGACCACTGAGAAGAAGATCAACTGCGGCGAGGGCGATGTCGTGTCCTGGGACGTGCCCAAGAAGGTCTACTGCTGCCTGCACGAGGGTAAGGGCTGCCCGACGACGCCGGCGGCGCCCAGCACCATGCCGATGCCAGTGGTGACGACGGCGAGGAGCACCACATCTCCGTGCCCGATTGATTGCAACGCCGGCTACAACGACCTGGACCCGCTGCAGTGGGTCCGCGGCTGGTCCGGCGAGAAGAAGCTGTATTGCTGCAAGACGGCGAACCGGGGTTGCCCTTCGGAATTGCCCCCGCCCTCGGGCCTGCCGCCGTCCAACGCGCCTCCCGAGCCAGACAAGAGCGTCTACGACTGCGACGCGGGCTACCACCACTGCATGCACTGCCTGGTGCTGTCGTGGTCTCCGGCCAAGATCGATCACTGCTGCAAGACCCAGCGCAAGGGTTGCAGGGGCGAGGAGCCAGAGTGAGGCGCCCTTTCCGCCCTCTTCCGCCCATGTTGGCACGGCGCGATCTGCTTGTCGCTGCATTTTTTTCTGCCGCGCGCGGTCTCTCGCTCGCGCATTTTTGTTGCTCTGGAGGTCCTGGAGGCGCGGGTGGCTCCAGAGGAGGAGGAGGAGGAGGAGGAGGAGGAGGAGGAGGAGGAGGAGGAGGAGGAGGAGGAGGAGGAGGAGGGCTCCAGGGAGGAGGAGGAGGAGGAGGAGGAGGAGGAGGAGGGGAGGAGGAGGAGGAGGAGGAGTCCAGTAGGAGGAGGAGTCCAGGAGGAGTAGGAGGGAGGAGGAGGAGGAAGGAGGAGGAGGAAGGAGGAGGAGGAGGAGGAGGAGGAGGAGGAGGAGGAGGAGGAGGAGGAGGAGGATGGTCCAGGGGAGGAGGAGGAGAAGGAGGAGGAGGAGGAGGAGGCGGAGGAGGAGGAGGAGGAGGAGGAGGAGGAGGAGGAGGAGGAGGAGGAGGAGGAGGAGGACGGTTCCAGAGGATGGCTCCAGAGGAGGAGGAGTAGGAGGAGGAGGAGGAGGAGGAGGAGGAGGAGTAGGAGGAGGAGGGTCAGAGCCTTCCATCCGACTCGTGGCCCGGCCCCGCCCCGTGGTCCGCCGCCGGCCTGGCGTGCGGCAAAGGTACGCCCGCCGCGGCCCCGGCGGCAGAGCAGTCGCTGCCCAGCCCGGTCCACGGTCAAGCCTGCCGGGCGGGTGGCACAGACGAGCAACGATATGGGGGGATGGGCATACGGGGGGGATGCATCGACCCCCAATCGCCCACTGATCGCCGGTAGGGGGCCGAGAGCCCCAACCTGCCCAGGAAGGTGCGGATTCACCATCGGGGGCCTATCGTCGCTCTATCGGCGATGTATCGCCGATTCCAGGTCGATGCATATCCCCCTATGCCAGTCCCTCCCTACCGTTGCCCCTCATACCTTCTGAAGGTAGAAGATCGACTAGACCTACGAGCGACCTTTCGCTGGAGTGACCTCTTGGCGCGGGCCCAACGGGGTCCCCCGATCGCCGAGCGCGATGCGGCAGTGGCCTGAGTTTCGGCACCTGGCGCGCCCTTTATCCGCGCACTCGAGGCCACTCTTGCCTAGGGTTGCTCTTGCGTGTAGCCGAGAACAAGGGTGTGGTGTGAAGTGGTGCGGTGTCACTGCTGAATCCAGCAGTGCTATCCATCATCGATGGCATTGCCAGTTCCAGGATTGGCACCACACCTTTTTTTGTGCCACACCCCTTGTCCGACCTCCAGACAGGCATGCTCTCAGAAGTCAGCTCTCAAGAGTCAGCTTTCAACAGTCCGCTCGCAACAAAAATATATAGCGCTATCACACGTCGCGCACGAGCCCGAATAGTCGAACGAGCATGGCTACGGGTACGGGTGCCAGTACAAGTGCGGGGGGCAGTGCGGGTACAGGTATAAGAGGGACGCAAGTCTGGTCAAAGGGGGCGCGTATGGTACAGGGATGAGTATCGGTCGGTCTGGGCATGTAAGTGGGAGCGAGTGCGGGTGTTGATATCCCTGTGGGTGTGCGTGTGTGTATGTGTGTAGGTGTGTCTCGCGACTCACCCGCAGGCCCGCCATCACACCCGCAGGCAGAGGGGGAATGCACCAGCGCAGCTGGAAAGGCTGGGCGGGAGGGGTGTATAGAGGATGCCAGATGTGGCGCGACCCCCCTCCCCTCTCGCACGTTAAAGGCCACGGGAAATGCACGGACTGCCCCACCAGGAGGCCCCGGCTGGCCTCAGCAGGCCCCCCGAGCAGTCTGGGGCGGCCCCAGCACCCCAACCCTGGGGCGCGGAGCGTCCCGGGGCAGCCGGAACTACTCGCGGGGGCCTGCTGAGGCCAGCCAAGTCTGCCTGGGGGGCTGCCTGTGCGCAGCCCGAAGCCTGACCTGGTTACCCGAAGCGACACCCCTGATCCTGTCACCTCCCGACCTTCCCTCTGATCCGAGCGGCTGTCGCGCTATAACTCGAACCCGCGGCGGACACCCTCGGAGCGCCCGCGACGAGGCGGAGCTGATGGAAGGCACTCAGGGCTTGGAAAACTGTCGAAAACGTTTGAAAACGTTGCCCCCTGAGCCAATTTCTCCCGAGCCTTGAGCATCCGAATTATCCGGGATAGGCCTGGTCAGGAGAGGGAGCTGTTTGGTTTGGTGTTCCCAAATGCGATATAGACAATGGATCCGCTTGATCCGAAACAGCTCCTGTTTCGCGAGAGTACTGGACAATATCTACATGTGTTAACAGCAATACCCGCACCTGTATATTTTCATGCCCACAGCCATGCCCGTGCCAAGAGCGCTATCACACGTCGTCTGTAGCCATTCTGGCTCCAGGCTATCGTTGGCTCAGGCACTCTTGGCTTGTGCATACTCCAAGAGACGTTTCCGCGCGGCGCCATGTCCTTCCGCTACGGGGGACACGGCGGAGGCCTCGGTGGGGGCCTCGGCCGGGGCTACGGGGCGTACGGCGCCAGCGGTGCGTACGGCGCTGCTGGCCCTTACGGCGCCGGCGCCAGCGGTGCGTACGGCGCTGCCGGCCCTTACGGCGCCGGCGCCGGCGGCGCGTACGGTGCCGGCGGCGCGGACTGTGCGACCGCATGCTGCGCCAGCACCAGCGCCTGCATGGGCTGCGGCCCCGCCTGCGGCGTGGCCTGCGCCGAGGGTTCGGGCTGCGGCGCCGGCGGCAGCACGATTCTTAGCTACGTCGGCGCGGGGGGCGACTACGTCCAGGAGACCACCTACCGGTACGTGGGCATGGGCGCGGGCGAGTTCGGCGTGGTGCGCATCCCAGGGCGCGGCCCGAGCTGCTGCCTGCTCGTGATCCCCCTGGGGCTGTGTCTGCTTCTGCTGCCTCTCCTGCTGTTCGCGCTGGCGCCGGGCTCGACGACGACGACGACGACCACCACCACCACCACCACGCCGTTTATTCCGCCGAGCACGGCGCCGCCCGACACCACCACCACAACCAAGAAGACGACCACCAAGCCGCCGCCCCCGCCCCCGCCGCCCCCCCCGCCGCCCCCCCCGCCGCCCCCGCCGCCCCCGCCGCCTCCGCCCCCGCCGACCACTGAGAAGAAGATCAACTGCGGCGAGGGCGATGTCGTGTCCTGGGACGTGCCCAAGAAGGTCTACTGCTGCCTGCACGAGGGTAAGGGCTGCCCGACGACGCCGGCGGCGCCCAGCACCATGCCGATGCCAGTTGTGACGACGGCGAGGAGCACCACATCTCCGTGCCCGATTGATTGCAGCCACCAACGCATGTGCTTCCGCGTAGTGGTGGCGGGCCTGCTCTTCATGTTCATCTTTGCCCTCGGGGTCCTGGGCAGGGTGAGGAAGAGCAAGCGAAATACATGCAAGGTTAAATTAAAAGAAGATGGTGCCGTGGTCCTCACCACGGCATCCTGTAAAACAGTTCAGGGAGAAGGAGGGGGAGAAGATGGCGCTGTGGTCGTCACCACGGTGCCCTGCAAGGTCGGGATGGCGCTGGAGGCCCTGGTCGTGGGCGGGGCGCGCCACTCCTGGAGCAGGCGGGCCACGTTCGTGGGCAGCTTGCGGTACATCAAGGTCAAGCCGCTGGCGGAGCGGACAGCCCATAAGAAGGTCCACAAGTGGAAGCGCCGGCTCAAGAGGCGCTCCAAGGGCATGGATGACCAGGCCCATCATCAAGCAGATCTTCATGATCAAGCTGTCCATGGAGCAGGGGCTCTGGGACTCCATGGTTGTGGGGAGTACGCCGAGGTGGATTTCCACGACTGCGAGGACGGCGGGTGGGATGGCCCGGAGGGAGCGCTGTGGGAGATCTACAGCGCCCCGGAGGCCAAGAACACCAAACAGGAGATCGAGGAGCATGTCGATGACACTGCGGACGTCGATGACACTTTCAACCACCAGCTGAACGTAGGTACGGGCTCCGAGTGCAAGACAGATGTCAATGACACTGCGGATGTCGATGGCGTTTTCGACCACCAGCTGGACGTAGGTACGGGCTCCGAGGACATGATTGAGGTCAATGACACTACGGATGCCAATGACATTTTCCTCCACCACGGGGCCGTCGACACGAACACCCAGGACATCGGGAAGGTTACGGAGGAGATCGGCGACGAGGAGGAGCCAGGAGGTACACATCATAATTCACCAGCTCGTCAACGAGAGGATCACCATACAGGCCCGGGTGACTTTCGAGAAGACGGGGATTTTGGAACGAGGGAGCTGCCAGTACAGCATTTTTGGCGGCATCCAGCCCTGCGAGGCGGAGGAGCGCCGTCGAACTCGATGGACACGTTCCTCAAGGCGCTGAGCGGCCTCATGCAGAGCTATTCCGAAGCGGGTAGTGCAGGAGCGGGGACAACGCCGGCGAGGCCGGGGGGGAGGTGGAGGACGCGCAGACAGCAGCAGAAGCAGGAGGGCCTGGACGAGCTCATCGCCCGGCTCCGCAAGATGTTGGACGACGCGGCCAAGGCAAAGTGGACCATGGAGAGGCTCGTGAATGGGCTGACCGAGACGGTCGCGCAGGCCAAGCAGAAGCAGGCGCAGCCAGCCGGAGCCCAAGCGCAGCAGGAGCCCCGAGGCAAGGCCGCGGGCAAAGGGAAAGGCGACAGCAGGAGGCAGGAGGAGAAGCCACCAGCAGCGCAGCCAGGAGCGCCAAGAGGCGGGCGCTGGGCTAGAGGCAAAGGGAGAGGCAAGGAGGGACAGACAGAGGAGGAGGAGACCAGAGGAGGCAGAGGTCAAGGAAAGGAGGAAAGAAAGCATGAGGAGGAGGAGGCGCCGAGGCTGAGCAGGATGGCTTGGACCAAAGGCCAGGTGCTGCTGGGACCCAAGGCCTTCGAAGCGCTGCTGGATGCCGAGGACCCGGCGCAGGCGGCGAACAAGGTGAAGGCTATCGTGGCCAAGCCGGGCCAGGTAAACGAGATCCTCGACCTCGCGAGGTCTTACGCTATCACTCACAAGATCGGCGTGGTCTTTGCCAAGGAGGTGGACGGGGTCAAGAGCCAGCTCAAGTGGCTCCGCGTGGAGGGACAGGCAGGGCGTGGAGATAAGCTCAAGAGTCTGCACGTTGCCCCGGTAGCTGCGGCCGGACTTCCGCCGGAGCTCGCCGGAGAGACGGTCAAGGCCTCCAAGGGGTCGAAGGCGGCGGAGGACGCGGCTGCCAAGGAGACGACGGTCATGCGCATCACCATGGTGAAGAAGTACATGACCGACTCGGCGTGGAGGGCGAGCCCGGTTACATCGCTTCACTCGTTGTGGAAGGCGGACGGCATCATCCGCACATACGGGTATCGTCTCCACGAGGCGGGCGACGACATCTGCCGCTCCTGCTTCGCGACGGTGCAGGAGGACAAGGTTCTGGACCTCCTGAGGCAATCAGGAATTGGAGGTATATTTTCCGAGCGGCTTGTTTGCCAAGCGGGCCGTGCAGCGGTCGATTGGAAGCCTTGGGAAGATGGTGAGACAGACATCGAATATTTGGAAAGACTGCTGCGGCGCGGTGGCACTCAGCATGGCCTGGCTTTCCGCCGCGGGGGCAAACAGCAGCTTGGGTGGCGAGAGCCTCCAGGCACCGCGCCTCGCAGGCCAGATCGTGCAGTGCCGTGGGAAATCACAGGTACTCCGGCTAGCTGGGGGGCCAACGACGTGAGCACGTACTTCACGGAGAACGATTGGACTGAAGTATCCTTGATACGTCCCCGTTTCAGGAATAAAGGGTGGATATTCCGCATGAAAGCTCCCGCTGAAGTTCGGGACACAGTGTGTGGCAGATCCACAACCACACCATCACGGTGGTGCGCGACACCTGGCAGCAGAAGGGCATGACCACGAAGATGATCAACCCGCGGCCCGGCGTCGTCAGGCAGGACCTCCACGAGCAGGAAAAGGAGCGCAAGGCCAAGGCGGACGCAGCGAAGCCGTGGGCGAAAGCAGCAGCTGAGGAGGAGGAGGAGGAGGAGGAAGAGGGCGAAGCCATGAAGGAGGAGACGCCGGCAGCAGGGAAGGCAGAGGAGAAGGCAGAGGACAAGACCACTCCACCTGAAGTGGGTGAGAAGAGGCCGGGTGAGCAAGGCGGCCAAGCAAAGAAGACGAAATGCATCAACGTCTACGGCTACCAGGGCTGGGATTTGGGCGGGATGGGCGACTGCCTGTACCGCGCTGCGGCTGCCTCTGCCGCGGCCCTGGAGGGCCGGAAAAAGGAAGACATCGAAAAGAACATCGCGTCTCTGGGCAAGAAGATCCGGGCAGAGACCACGGGCCTCATCCGCAAACACAGCTTGTTCAAGGGCGTCTGGGTGGCGGATCCCAACGCGTCGGTTCGCTGGGAAGGCGGGCCCATCCCCGCCACCTACCAGGAGTGGGTGGACGCAACTGCCCGGGAAGGCCGCTACGCATGTGAGCATACGGCGGCGGTGCTGGCCTTGCGGCTTGAAAGACGCCTTGTCGTATTCTACTGGCACCAAGGCAAATGGGTGAAGGGCTGGGTGATCAGTCCACCCGAGGGGGCGGGCAACGCCGCCATAGAGAAGAAGCGGTCTAAAACAATGGGCCGTGCGCCAATACCAGTGGCCCTCAAGGACGAGCACTACGTCGCCCTGCACTTGAAAGACGGGCAGAAGGAGTGGCCGCTGGAGTGGGCCGACCCCCCGGAGGAGGACTTCGCGACGCAGCTGCTCCGAGGTGCAGGCCACGGAGAAGACGAGGAGGACGAGGAGGTTGCAGGATGGCTGCAGCCAGGCAGCGACTCTGAGGAGGAGGAGGCAGAGGCACAAGCTGAAACCGAAGGAAAAGAGGAAGACAAAGAGGAGGACGAGGATACGGGAAGAAGAGGCGAGGAGGAGGACGAGGAGGAGAGAGGCAAAGAGCAGCAGGAGGAGGCTCATGAGGCAGAGCAGGAGGAGGCTGCGAGCCTGGGCAGCTGGCTCCGCAGCACAGCCGCCGGCTCCACAGCAGGAGGCGTGGCCGCCACTGGGTCGTGCTGGGACTCGGTGAGCGTCGCCGCCCACGGTGGCAAACGCCGGCGCCTCCGCGGCAAGCAGACGGCGCCGGCGCCTCCCGCCCTCGCGGGCCCGCCGCTGGGCTGGGACGAGCCCCCTTCGGCCCCCCACGCCGCGCCGAGGCCGCTGGTCAGGGGCAGCGCCGAGTGGGTAGAGCACAAGAAGTATGTGAAGCGGTCGTACTACCAGAGACAGGGCGGCACCTTCAGCGAGTACAGGGCGCGCCCAAAGACCACCGAGTGGCGCTGTCCAATCTGTCCAGATTGGCGCACGTCGGCGAAGACGCCGAATATGCTGTATTACAGGCGGAACAGGCACGTGGACCGGGAGCACCCGGACAAGCCGCGCAGCTTCTTCAACAAGAAGAACGGGACGCTGCCCACCCTCAAGGCCCTGAGCGACGAGGAGTGGCGTGAAGCCTTGCAGCTCCCCATGGGGCCGCTGCCGAAGATGGCGTGGACGTGCCAGGACTGCGGGAAGAGCCTCCCCTTCCAGAGCGACAACTCTCGGTCCATCATCGACAAGGCTCGCCGTGCCCACCGGGAGGCGGAGCATGGTGTGAAGTGGCAAACCGCGACAGAGTGGAGAAGGAGGCAACGGGCGGCTGGCAGGAGCTACCTGCCCAACGGCTCCCTGACGCAGACGCAAGCGACAGCGTCCGCCTCCTCTTGACAGGCGGAGCCGGCCCCCCTCCCTTCCGACGGGCCCCTGCCCCGCGGAGGGAGCAAGGAGGGGAGGCCGGCGCGACGAAGCCAGCGGCAATCGTTTTTTTCGGGCCCTCGGGGGCCCCCCTCGTCGCCGCGGCTGGACGCGGATCGGAAAAATGGTGCTCCAGGCGGAGCTTCGTCGCCACGGCTGGGCGCGGAGAGGAAAACTGGTGGTGCGCCGGGCGGTGTAACCGCGCGACGCCCCGTCTGGACTGTCAACGTTGGCTCAGACACTGGACTTTGGAAGGCCGCCCGGCTGGCAGCTGAGCGGAATGTGGAGGTGGCATGCTTCCAGGAAGCCTCACTGTCTGAGAAAGACTTCAAGAGCTTCAGGAAATCCATGTTCAAGCACGGCTACAGGGCGCACCACCAGGGTGGCAATGTGGCGGAGGGCACCGCGCGGCAGATCCACGGCGTAGTGACCATTGTCAGCAGGAAGCTTCGCTCCAAACAACTGTGGAGCCGGGGAGGGCCCGAAGGGCAGATCCTGGCGACGGTCGTGGAGGGCGTGGTGCTGTTCAACACGTACGTGGTCCCCGGCGTCGACGAGGGGGCCATCATGAGGGAAATCAGCGACGTTGTGCAGGTCGACAGGCTGACGTCCTGGATGGCCATCGGGGATTGGAACCAGTTGCCAACGCAGGTGCTGGTCCCGCGCGCCTGGTGCTGCATTGAAGCGGTCAAGGATAAGAACGGCGACTACCTCCCTACGCGCTGGAGGGGCCACCGGTGCATCGACTACGGGGTGAGCTGGGCCATGGCGATCACGGGCCACGAGCTGATCGAGGACGCGATCAGCGACCACATCGTCGTGCAGATGCTTGTCGACTTCCGCATGGAGGGCGAGGAGGTAGAGGAGTGGCGCTTGGCGAAGCACCGCGGGGTCGCCATGCCGCCGGCCTCGAGCAAGGAAGAGTGGGTGGACATCACGAGCAGGCTGTGGGACAACACGCAGGGTTATTCCCACGTGCAGAGCGGCATGAATGCGGCCGCAGATGGCGTCGAACCAGGGTCCTGCGAGGCCCGCCGCCTGGTTGACCAGAAGTGGGCGGAACTCAGCCACGCCGTGGAGACCTGCATGGCCCAAGCTCGCGCCATGCTCACAGACACAGAGTGGGATTGCGCCGCTGAGGACCCGGAGAGAGCCGGTTCGGACGGTCGCAAAAAGCTGCAGAAAAACGAGGTCCAGCTCGAGCGGGTGCGGCACGGACGCGCCGCGAGCTGCCTGGAAGCCACCTTCCGGGGGCGCCAGCTCGCCAACGCCCTCGCTCGGCTACGGCGCCTCGACTACCTGCAACAGCGCGGCGCCGGCAGGGAGGCAGAGGCAAGGCGACTCCGAGAGAAGGCGAAGCGGTACCTCGAGCAGACCGGGGACACCGCCTTGGCTCAGATCCACGCTGTGCAGGACAAGATCGTGGAGCTCGAGGGCCTGCTGCGCTCCGAGAGGGACCGGGCCAAGGAGCAGAGGCTCGTGAGGTGGCGGGAAAGCCTCAGGACATCCCGCCGGAAGGCCCACAGCTGGCTCCGGGGGCACATCCCGCCAGACACCATGATCTACGAGCAGGACAGGGAGGAGGCACCGGCGCAGTCCATGCCGGAGTCGCTGGGATTTCTGATCAACCGCTGGCGCAAGGTGTGGGACCGGGAGCTGCCTCCCGAAGCGGCATGGCGAGCCAAGGTGGCGGAGTGGGGCCCGCGGCACCAGGAGGAGGTGTGGGCGCCGCTCGAGAAGGAAGACGTGCGGACTGCACAGGACAAGATCCGTGGAAGCAGCGCAGGCCCTGACGGGTGGACCGGCGAGGAGGTGGCGGACGCGATCTTTGCCACAGAGGCTGTCGCTGAGTTCTTCAATCTCTGCGAGACAGTGGCCGCCTTCCCATCTGGGTGGCAGAGAGTGCGCCAAGCGCATTTGCCCAAAGAAGATGTGGCCGAGGGCAAGGCACTGCCGGCCGAAGCTGTCCGACCCATCTCGGTGAGCAGCTGCTGGTATCGGCTGTGGGCAGGGAGCCGGCTCCACAGCGCGGCCAGCAGGCAATGGCAGCGGCGGTGGTGGCCAGAGCGTGCCTTCGGCGCCAAAAGGGGCGCTTCTGTGAACGACGCTGTCCAAAGTATTATCGTTGCAATGGAACAGGGCGAATACGCCACATCTTGGGATTTTTCTCTCTGCTTCGACACAGTGCAGCCCGCGTGCGCCGCGGTCGCGCTGCAGCAGGCGGGCATGCCGAAGGCCATCGTGGCGATGCTGACCCAGCAATGGGAAAACCAGGAGCGCTACATGCAACTCGCCGGGATCACGCACCCGCAGGCGCAGGAAGTGCGCACTTCCCTCCCCCAGGGGGATCCGTGGAGCCCGCTGGCGCTCACATGTCTGCTCGCCGGGCCGCTGCGGGAGCTGGAGGAGAGGGTGCCCAACGTCACCACTACCGTCTTCGTCGACGACAGGACGTGGACAGCGCGCCGCCTGGAGGACCTCCTGGCCGCGGCGCAGCTTTGGCGAGCCTGGAGCGCTGCTCTGGGGCTCAAGGAAAACGCCCTGAAGGAGCAGTGGAGCCACCGAGACCCTGCTGGCCGCCGGAATCTTCAGAAACATGTCTCGCCAGACGCCGTGGCGGACAAGCTGGAGGTGTTGGGCATGAAGATCACGGGAGGGAAAAGGAGGAAGAAGTGCCGCAAGGAGATAAAGAGGCTCGAAAAGGCCTCCCAGCAGACGGCCAAGGCAACACTTCTGCCACTCCCGCCGAGAGAAAGGAAGCAGGTGGTGGAAGCCGGGCCTCTCGCTTCTGCTCAGTACGGCTGGGTTTGCGACACGCCGAACATCCAGGCCACCAATCAGATTCAAAGCCGCGTGCACAGAGCTATCGATTTTCCGATTCACGCGCCGCGGCCCTTGAAGTTGTTGATTTTGGGACATCGCTCTGACGTGCGGTACAGGTGCCAGCAAGAGGCCATTCTTGGAGTAGTTCGCGCCATTGCTAAGGGCCTGGCAGGGAACGACCCCACAGGGGAGCTGTCGTGGAAGGAGACCACGGGCTGGTCAGGCGTACTGACAAAGCACTTGGCGTGGACAGGCTGGCGGTGCGTGGACGAGTGGGTGTGGAACCACCACGGAACAGAGAAGACCATCACGCTCCGGCGAGACCACCCTGAGTGGCGAGAGCCGGGACAGGTGGCGCACCTGCTTCGGGAAGCCTGGCGTTTCTCCAATTTCCAGGAGCTCATGAAAGGGAGCCGGCGGGCTACGGTGGCGTGCGACGACGCCGAGTACGATCCGCGCAGGTACAAGCGCATGCTCAAGCTTGTGGAAGAGATACCAGCAGCTGCGAGAGTCTTCGCCGGCGCGGTGGTGAGCCCAGCACACTACCACAGGGGCGACCTGGTTCTCGGCCGGTGTCCGTGGTGCACTGTCGAGATGGGCACCTGGGAACACGTGGCGTGGGAGTGCGGGAGCAGCTGCTTCCGGCACCGTCCGCGCCAGCGACCCCATGATGGTTTGCAACGCCGGCTTTTGTGGCCGACGGCGTTGGGCGACAGGAAAGAGGTCGACCGGCAGCTCGTGGAGTGGGCTGTTTTCGTCGACCGCGTCATCAGGGACCACAGGTACGACGACGACGGGCGCGTGCCCCGGGCAGCCCGGCCTCGTGGCTGAGCACGAAGGGCGGCCATCTTTGGCCGCACCGGAGCCTTGTCACCTCGACGGCACGGCTTCGACATCAACAGGTGCAGCCCGATTGATTGCAACGCCGGCTACAACGACTTGGACCCGCTGCAGTGGGTCCGCGGCTGGTCCGGCGAGAAGAAGCTGTATTGCTGCAAGACGGCGAACAGGGGTTGCCCCTCGGAATTGCCCCCGCCCTCGGGCCTGCCACCGTCCAACGCGCCCCCCGAGCCAGACAAGAGCGTCTACGACTGCGACGCGGGCTACCACCACTGCATGCACTGCCTGGTGCTGTCGTGGTCTCCGGCCAAGATCGATTACTGCTGCAAGACCCAGCACAAGGGTTGCAGGGGCGAGGAGCCAGAGTGAGGCGCCCTTTCCGCCCTCCTCCGCCCATGTTGGCACTGCGCGATCTGCTTGTCGTTGCATTTTTTTCTGCCGCGAGCGGTCTCTCGCTCGCGCATTTTTGGCGCTCTAGAGGTCCCGGAGGCGCGGGTGGCTCCAGAGGAGGAGGAGGAAGAGGAGGAGGAGGAGGAGGAGGAGGATGAGGAGGGAGGAGGAGGAGGAGGAGAAGGAGGAGGAGGAGGAGGAGGAGGAGGAGGATGGCTCCAGAGGAGGAGGAGGAGGAGGAGGAGGAGGAGGAGGAGGAGGAAGAGGAGGAGGAGGAGGAGCGGAGGGCCAGAGCCCTCCATCCGACTCGTGGTCCGGCCCCGCCCCGTGGTCCGCCGCCGGCCTGGCGGGCGGCAAAGGTACGCCCGCCGCGGCCCCGGGGGCAGAGCGGTCGCTGCCCAGCCCGGTCCACGGTCAAGCCTGCCGGGCGGGTGGCACAGTCAGGGGCAACGATAGGGGGGGATGGGCATAGGGGGGGGATGCATCGACCCCCAATCGCCCACTGATCGCCGGCAGGGGGCCGAGAGCCCCAAGCTGCCCAGGAAGGTGCGGATTCACCATCGTGGGCCTATCGTCGCTCTATCGGCGATGTATCGCCGATTCCAGGTCGATGCATATCCTCCTATGCCAGTCCCTCCCTGCCGTTGCCCCTCATACCTTCTGAAGGTAGAAGATCGACTAGACCTACGAGCGACCTTTCGCCGGAGTGACCTCTTGGCGCGGGCCCAACGGGGTCCCCCGATCGCCGAGCGCGATGCGGCAGTGGCCTGAGTTTCGGCACCTGGCGCGCCCTTTATCCGCGCACTCGAGGCCACTCTTGCCTAGAGTTGCTCTTGCGTGTAGCCGAGAACAAGGGTGTGGTGTGAAGTGGTGCGGTGACACTGCTGAATCCAGCAGTGCTGTCCATCATCGATGGCATTGCCAGTTCCAGGATTGGCACCACACCATTTTTGTGCCACACCCCTTCTCCGACCTCCAGACAGGCATGCTCTCAGAAGTCAGCTCTCAAGAGTCAGCTTTCAAAAGCCCACTCGCAAAAAATAGCGCTATCACACGTCGCGCACGAGCCCGAATAGTCGAACGAGCATGGCTACGGGTACGGGTGCTCGTAGAAGTGCGGGGGGCAGTGCGGGTACAGGTATGAGAGGGACGCAAGTCTGCTCAAAGGGGGCGCGTATGGTACAGGGATTAGTATCGGTCTGGGCATGTAAGTGGGAGCGAGTGCGGGTGCTGATATCCCTGTGGGTGTGCGTGTGTATGTGTGTAGGTGTGTCTCGCGACTCACCTTTTGTCCAATGCGCATGGTCCAGGCCCGCCATCACACCCGCAGGCAGAGGGGGAATGCACCAGCGCAGCTGGAAAGGATGGGCTGGAAAGGATGTGGCGCGACCCCCCTCCCCTCTCGCAGGTTAAGGCCACGAGAAATGCACAGACTGCCCCACCAGGAGGCCCCGGCTGGCCTCAGCAGGCCCCCCGAGCAGTCTGGGGCGGCCCCAGCACCCCAACCCTGGGGCGCGGAGCGTCCCGGGGCAGCTGGAACTACGCCTGCTGAGGCCAGGCAGGTCTGCCTGGGGGGCTGCCTGTGCGCAACCCGAAGCCTGACCAGGTTACCCGAAGCGACACCCCTGATCCTGTCACCTCCCGACCTTCCCTCTGATCCGAGCGGCTGTCGCGCCATAACTCGAACCCGCGGCGGACACCCTCGGAGCGCCCGCGACGAGGCGGAGCTGATGAAAGGCACTCAGGGCCTGGAAAACTGTCGAAAACGTTTGAACACGTTGCCCCCTGAGCCAATTCCCCCCGAGCCTTGAGCATCCGAATTATCCGGGATAGGCCTGGTCAGGAGAGGGAGCTGTTTGGTTTGGTGTTCCCAAATGCGATATAGACAATGGATCCGCTTGATCCGAAACAGCTCCTGTTTCGCGAGAGTACTGGACAATATCTACATGTGTTCACAGCAATACCCGCACCTGTATATTTTCATGCCCACAGCCATGCCCGTGCCAAGAGCGCTATCACACGTCGTCTGTAGCCATTCTGGCTCCAGGCTATCGTTGGCTCAGGCACTCTTGGCTTGTGCATACTCCAAGAGACGTCTCCGCGCGGCGCCATGTCCTTCCGCTACGGGGGACACGGCGGAGGCCTCGGTGGGGGCCTCGGCCGGGGCTACGGGGCGTACGGCGCCAGCGGTGCGTACGGCGCTGCTGGCCCTTACGGCGCCGGCGCCAGCGGTGCGTACGGCGCTGCCGGCCCTTACGGCGCCGGCGCCGGCGGCGCGTACGGTGCCGGCGGCGCGGACTGTGCGACCGCATGCTGCGCCAGCACCAGCGCCTGCATGGGCTGCGGCCCCGCCTGCGGCGTGGCCTGCGCCGAGGGTTCGGGCTGCGGCGCCGGCGGCAGCACGATTCTTAGCTACGTCGGCGCGGGGGGCGACTACGTCCAGGAGACCACCTACCGGTACGTGGGCATGGGCGCGGGCGAGTTCGGCGTGGTGCGCATCCCAGGGCGCGGCCCGAGCTGCTGCCTGCTCGTGATCCCCCTGGGGCTGTGTCTGCTTCTGCTGCCTCTCCTGCTGTTCGCGCTGGCGCCGGGCTCGACGACGACGACCACCACCACCACCACCACCACGCCGTTTATTCCGCCGAGCACGGCGCCGCCCGACACCACCACCACAACCAAGAAGACGACCACCAAGCCGCCGCCCCCGCCCCCGCCGCCCCCCCCGCCGCCCCCCCCGCCGCCCCCGCCGCCCCCGCCGCCTCCGCCCCCGCCGACCACTGAGAAGCCCCTGCGGGGGGCGCCGTCCCCTGCGGGGGGCGCCGTTCGTGGACAGCACCATTGGCTCCACGGACTTCACCGGCGCGGGGACAGCACCCCGGGGCCACAGGCCCAGATTCTATGTGCTTAGATGACATAAATACCGCAGAGCCGCTACCGCGGCAAGGACTTGCATGCGCCGCGTGCTGCTCCGCGGCCTGACTCATCTTTTGATGTTTCTGGCAGCCTGGGGGAGGCTGCCCCGGCGCGGGCTGAGGCGGGTAGCTGATCTGAGCGTCCTTTGTTGGGTACCCGTCGGCGTGCCCTCCCGTGGCTTCCCGGGCTTCCGGCCTTCGGCCCTGCGCGCCGATGGCATCATATGCCTGATTGCTGGCTTGTGTGTCTGGGCATGATTGCTGGCCTCCGCTTCGGCGCCGGAGGCCTGGGCATGATTGCTGGCACCGGGCCTGGGCATGTTGGTCTATGTTGCTGTTGGCTTGTGTTGGGGCTGCGGCTCGGTCGCGGGTGGGGGCTCTGGGCTGGTATGTCGCTGGGCCCTCGGCAAGGGTTGTTTGGATTGGCGCCTCGTCCAGTCCGGCTCTGAATTCAATTGGCGCCACGTGCGCGCCACTTCATACGCTTCCGCCGGCTCTCTTGGCCAGCGCTGTTGACTCCCAATCGCTGGGGTTGGACCGTCCTCCCCAGGACTCCTGCCCGGCTGCGATTGCGGCGGCAATTTTTTCGGCTGGCCTCGCTCCGCGCCTCTGCGTGGTGAGCATCGCGCGCGGCCAGCCGATATGCCAGGACTTGCATGCGCCGCGTGCTGCTCCGCGGCCTGACTCATCTTCGGGTGTTTCTGGCAGCCTGTGGGGGGCTGCCCCTAATCCAGTTGGCGCCACATGCGCGCCCCTTTCATACGCTTCCGCTGGCTCTCCTGGCCAGCGATGTTGACTCCCATTCGCTAGGTTTGGACCGTCCTCCCCAGGACTCGTGCCCGGCTGCGATTGTGGCGGCAATTTGTTCGGCGGGCCCTCGCTCCGCGCCTCTGCGTGGGGAGCTTCGCGCGCGGCCGGCCGATTGCCAAGACTCTTCTTTTTGATGCGGCTGAGTTTTATCAGCCCCATTGCCGAGGGGAAAGGATCCGAACTCCTACCTCTGTTGACTCCCAATCGCTGGGGTTGGACCGTCCTCCCCAGGACTCCTGCCCGGCTGCGATTGCGGCGGCAATTTTTCGGCTGGCCTCGCTCCGCGCCGCTGCGTGGTGAGCATCGCGCGCGGCCGGCCGATTTGCCAGGACTTGCATGCGCCGCGTGCTGCTCCGCGGCCTGACTCATCTTCGGGTGTTTCTGGCAGCCTGTGGGGGGCTGCCCATAATTCAGTTGGCGTCACATGCGCGCCCCTTTCATACGCTTCCGCTGGCTCTCCTGGCCAGCGATGTTGACTCCCAATCGCTGGGGTTGGACCGTCCTCCCCAAGGACTCCCGCCCGGCTGCGATTGTGGCGGCAATTTTTTCGGCTGGCCTCGCTCCGCGCCTCTGCGTGGTGAGCTTCGCGTGCGGCCGGCCGATTGCCAAGACTCTTCTTTTTGATGAGGCTGTGTCTTATCAGCCCCATAGTTGAGGGGAAAGGATCCGAACTCCTACCTCTCTCACCCCATCGACCACTGAGAAGAAGATCAACTGCGGCGAGGGCGATGTCGTGTCCTGGGACGTGCCCAAGAAGGTCTACTGCTGCCTGCACGAGGGTAAGGGCTGCCCGACGACGCCGGCGGCGCCCAGCACCATGCCGATGCCAGTGGTGACGACGGCGAGGAGCGCCACATCTCCGTGCCCGATTGATTGCAACGCCGGCTACAACGACCTGGACCCGCTGCAGTGGGTCCGCGGCTGGTCCGGCGAGAAGAAGCTGTATTGCTGCAAGATTGAGGTGATGATGACAGAGGTGGACGAGGCAATCCTGGAGAGACTGGAGGCGGCGACCACCGAGGACAGCGAGGCAAGAGCAGAGGAAGGATGCGCGCCGCTCTTCCTCAGGAGCTGGGACTTTAAGACGGCCTTTGACCGTGTGCACCCTGAGCTAGTGCGACGGGTCTGGAGCGAGCTTGGGGTCCCCGAAAGAGTGACGGAGCCAATTGTGCGAGTTTGGAAGGCACAGCAACGCTGCTTCGAGGTGGGCTCGCTCGTCGCCCCGCAACTCGTGGCCGCGCCGGGGTCGCTGCCGCAAGGAGATCCGCTGAGCATGCTGGCCATGGCGACAGTGCTGATGCCCGTTTTGTACAAGATCGCGGAGCAGGTGCCCAGGGCTGCGCTGTGCACATTCGCGGATGACAGGACGGCCGCGGCGCGGTCACAGGAGGAGATCGACAGCATCGAGAGCATCTGGAGGGATCTGGAGCGCGTGACAGCACTCAGGACGAACGACGCCAAAACGCAGAACTTGGTGTTCGATGCAACCACGCGCCTGCCGAATGCATCGGTCAAGGTGCTTGGGGTCCGCCTGGATGCAGGAGTGGAGCGACGCTGTGCCACCACGCCTGAGGATGAGGCGCGGGCAGAGGAGTGTAAGCGCAGGGCCGCGCGAGTTCGAGCACTTCCATTGCAGGTGCACGAAAAGCGCATCGTAGCATGCGGCGCCATACTCCCCAAATATCTCTGGAGTCGCGTGCGGCGTATTCCACCGCAGAAGGAAAGGGATAGCATCCAGAAGTCCCTCACAGACAGCGTGTGCAAGAACCAGTATCCCAACGGCAGCGTGTACCTGAAGAGGCTGCTCATTGCTGGGCACAACCTGGATGTGTCATACTGGCAGGCGCGGCGATTGTGGCAGTTCGTAGCCAAGAGGTCCCGCAGACAAGGGATCGCAGCGCTGCGGGGGCAAGTAGTGCGCACCCACAGGCTCAAGGCAGCAGGGCGCAATGTCCCTGGGACCATCTCGGCGCTCCTGGACATCCTGAAGGAGCTGGGTGCTAGTTTCGAGGACGGAGAGAGTGGCGCCATGTGGGTGGCGCCAGGAGTGCGGCTAGAGCTGTCCTGTGGGCCCAAGGCAGCAGCGCACCACTTCCGGGAGCTGTGGCGCAGGAAAATGTGGCAGAGCTACGTCGACACGTCGACGCGCAGGGATGCAGCGGAGGCCCGGAGAGAGCGCGTGCCGTACGACTCCTACGCGATGCGCGCTGCCGGGAACCTCCTGCGCAGCTCCACAGCTGAGGACAGAGCCTTGCGGCCGCACATGCTGGCCGTGCTTACCGGCAGCGTCTGGAGCGACGCCCGGTATGCAAAGATCGCAAAGCGAGAAGAACCTGGTCCCTGCGACAGGTGCAGCACAGGCGCTGTGGCAGATCAGGAGCACCAGAATTGGGTGTGCCCGGCGTTCAGCCGAGAGCGAGGGGCGGCGAGGGCGCCGTGGACGCGCTTCAGCCGAGTCATGGGCTGGCCGAGCCAACCACTCGAGGACAAGGCTGCGCGGCTCCGCTGGGATGACCGCATCAGGGCCATGGCCAGGATCCGACGGCGCGTGCTGGCCGAGCGGTACGAGGCCCCGCAGCGGACCAGAGAAGAGGAGGAGTCAGATGTGGAGGCAGCAGAGGTGGAGGAGGCCGCAGAGGAGCAGCTGGAGGCGCCAAGGGAGGAGGAGGCCCAGCGCCAGCAGCGCGGGCCAGAGGCTGCAGCAGGCCCCCTCCCAGACAGCGGCGAGGCAGAGGAGAGAACGCGCAAACGACGCCGCAGCGGCGCCGAGAAGGGACGGAAGTTGAGGAGGAGGAGGAGGAGGGCGGGAGCAGACACAGAGGAGGAGGAGGCAGAGGAGGCGGAGGAAGCGGAGGAGGAGGAGGCGGACTCGTTGGTGGTGCCGGAGGGGATCCTCGCCGCCGGCCCCGCGGAGAAGGCACCTGATTGAGCGCGGCGCAGGCCCCAGGCCGGGGTGCCCGTCATCGGGCTCATGTCGTGCTTCCTTTGTATTGCTGCAAGACGGCGAACAGGGGTTGCCCTTCGGAATTGCCCCCGCCCTCGGGTCTGCCGCCGTCCAACGCGCCCCCCGAGCCAGACAAGAGCGTCTACGACTGCGACGCGGGCTACCACCACTGCATGCACTGCCTGGTGCTGTCGTGGTCTCCGGCCAAGATCGATTACTGCTGCAAGACCCAGCACAAGGGTTGCAGGGGCGAGGAGCCAGAGTGAGGCGCCCTTTCCGCCCTCCTCCGCCCATGTTGGCACGGCGCGATCTGCTTGTCGCTGCATTTTTTTCTGCCGCGAGCGGTCTCTCGCTCGCGCATTTTTGTCGCTCTGGAGGTCCTGGAGGCGCGGGTGGCTCCAGAGGAGGAGGAGGAGGAGGAGGAGGAGGAGGAGGAGAAGGAGGAGAAGGATAGGAGGA